ATATATATATATATATATATATATACAAATATGATGCATCTTTAAAGAATTGATTTTAAACATTGAAACTAATAAAAAAAATTGATTGAAATATCAAGGTATCAAGATTGAGGTTATTTTTCAAATTATAAGCAAGAATTTTATAAACAGAGTATAATGATAATATTTAGGTAATATTAAGATGTGTCAGAAATTATTGCTCTATATGTATATTTTCTTTTTATTATAGTGTTGTTAAATTGATCGTTTCTTTTATACAATGAAACACTCTTTGTAATTAGTAAAACAAATTTAACATAACTTTTATTAAAGCTTTTATTCAAAGCAAATATATCATATCACATATATACATAATTATAATGATATAATTATATCTTTTTTTTCTCTCTTTACCATTTTAATGACTCTTCTTTATAAATCTTAATATATGAGATACTTTCTATCCTTCTTTCGATCCTGTTTATTTTTCATTCGCAAAAGTTCGAGTTTTTCTCAATCTCCTTTTATTTTATCGCAATGCAAGAATAGCATGTTAATTTGCCCAGCATCATCATCTTCAAGCTCCGTTAGCAATGCGACTGGAAGTAAACAGGTTTGGTCAATTGTTTTTTCAAGTTGGACTGGGAAATTGCCAAGCGTCTCGCGTATCGGGTAGAAGTGGAGGAAGATGGGAACACGTTTGGCGAGGATTCGCAATGTCTTCCTCGTCTTCGCGTGGGTTACCACGGATTCTTTTTCTTCTTTAAAGCGTTTCAGACTCTCTCGGGACACGTGGGAAGCCAGTCATGGGAAAACAAGAATTTTATAAAAATCAATTTATTTTCTTCTTAGATCAAACTGGAACTCTGAATAGAAGAGATTTCACTCACAGTTAACGATATTATATATATATTAAGTAGTTTTTTTCGTTTTTTTTATTATGCAAATCTCTTCTGTTTTCATAACTTTTATAATCTTATTCTTTCAAAGTAATGATTGAGCAATAATTTTAACCATACATTTATAATATTCATATTTATAAAATACAAATATAATTATATTATTATATATAATTTATATTATGATATGTATTTAAGTATAAATACAATAATTATATTTATATTTTTTCATTTTATATACTTTGTATGTATATATGTGTCAAAATTCTATTTTATTATAATTTTCAAAATAATTATTTGCAAAATACTTAAGATAACTTCTAATATCATTAATAAAGAACCGATTCTTTATGAAAATTCATCAAATTGTCTGATTATTTCCTATTTAATTGTAAAATCTAAACCTAATTTAAATTAATCAATTTATAATTTGTTAATTTTATAAATTATATATTGAATCCCAAAACTTAACAAGAGGATACGTGTTTCTTAGAAGAAAACTGAATAATATAAATGGTCTTAATAAAATAAAAGAGATGCATTTCTTTAACATTGTAAATAATAATATTTTAAAAGCACAGTGTTCATTCGCTTTCTTTCTTTCTTTTTCTTCCTCTATCTATTCGTATTTTTCTTATATTATCTTCGTCTCATTTGTTATCTTTATGCCGGTCATGTATCGTGGAACGACACAAGATATATTCGGTACCGGTAACGAACTGTGCCACTGATTAATACGTTTGTCGCTTGATCTATCCGGTGATTAGCGTCATTCTTCCGGTCCGGAAATGACCGCTCGATGGCGTTAGGGCATACATATGTTGATTTCGAAATATTTTCCTGTCGTAATAATTAGTTTTTTACGAGATCGAAATTACCATGAAACATTAACAGAAACGAATAACTCTTATATCATTTATCATATCAAATTTCCCAATTAAATTTCTATTTATTAATTTTTTTAGATATATTTGATGAATCAAACACTGTGCATTTCTTATTTCAAAATGATGAGTCTAACTTATCAATCGAAATGAAGTAATATATTTAACAAATTTAAATTTGCATTTGCTTATTTTGTAAAGTGATTTATCTCTGTATTAAATTTTTTAATAAATTTAATTTCGTTCATTTCATTGATTTAACTTAACTGAGTTTATATTAGAATTTTTTAAATGTTCGCTAATATATCATAAAAAATTCGATATTTATAAAAAAATTAAAACTTGTGAAATTAAAATTTATTTCAGTTTAACATTTTCGCAATGAAATCATAATTTATACTATTGCATCAATGTTCTTGTGCGCTATAAGTATAAAATTAAAAGCGAGACTACCTAAACAATGCCAAATACCATTGCATTTCCTCAAATTCTTTGAAACATATTTTTCAAAACTATTATTAAATTATTTATATTCTATCATTGTCCTTTCTTTATTTAATTAATTTATTTTATTTTGCAATATTTAATATATTTTGATATCTAAAATCATTTTAATATTATTTATTCTACAAATACAAATAAATTAATTTTTTCATAAAAATTTTCCACAGAATATTCAATGAAAAATAGACACGTGCCATCTGATACGATCTCATTCAGCCAAATATACGTGATATTATATTAAAAGAATTAATTTGTTTTCTAAAAGATTCAATTAGTAATCACATGAACAAAATTATTTTTGCTTTCATTCCACAACGTTACTCTTTTAGTTGCGCGCGCAACTTGATTCTCTTATTTACAATTGGTCAAGAAATGTGTCGCTGACAACGGTCCTAGTTCCTTGGACATACCGATTCGAAAGCCGGTCATTCTCAATGAATCTAAGTTTAGTAAAGTGATCAACTGGGGCCAACCTGATGTACTCGAAGAACGTGTATCGCGGGCCAAATATGCACGTCACAATATAAAACAGATTCAGAAACGTAAATCGACAATGTGCGCATGCGCCACGCGCGCGAAGGAAACTAGGAAAATTTATGTCAGAACTAAGCGTGAATTTAACAATAATTATCAACGATTCTTCTTTCAGTAACGTACATCGTCCTCGAATAGACAAATGATTAACGGAGATAATCGAGGTTAATCGTGAGTGCTAGACAAACGAGTTTTATATATATATCTCTATAGGTATGATTGATTTAATCGATTATAGTGTAAAAAAACTTGCCGAGCTATATTAAACATG